GATCCAGAAAGCCAGTTTATTTACTTATATTTTCCAATCCTTTTAATTTCATGCTTTACATTCCTATACTGCATTTCAAATTCGCAGGAGTAATTCTAAGTTAGTCTGTCACTGTAATCCTCTTTGAAGCTATGAAAGTGTAAAGATACCATTATAAGTTTCTGTTTACTTAATAAAATATTGGTTTCTGATACTATTGTTTCCCCCCCTATTTTTATAAGTCATCTTAATTTTCTCCTAAAAAGTAAGCCATCAGTAAAAGTTCTCTTCATTGAGGCTGCTAAAAAATTTTCGTAGCAATCATCTGACTAATTGGTTAGTATTTATTAAATTCTATAAGAACTTATGGATTTTTACTGACACGCTCAAATTACATTTCTAACCTTTGAAAATGAAAAAATATCAACACAAAATTAACTAAAAATATGAAATTTCTAGTTGTTCTCCTATATAATGATAAGTTTACTTGAATTATTAATTTAAATAAATTTCTAATATCATTAAAAACTGTTAATAGACTTGATAATTTATTAATAAAGAATCATTTGTTATGAAATTAGAAATGTCAAGAGGCATCATGTAATTTTTCAAACTACTGGAAACAAATTATATTTTAAACAAATATCAAAAGGTATATTTGTAATTTACTCAAAATTAATTTTAAATATAGAAATAATTACATGAAACTTGATACTTATAGTTGAACAGTACAACAATATATATTTATAATCCCTACTATTATCACAAAAAAATTACCTGACCCAACCCGACAATCATGACAACAAAAACTACTAAGTCCCATAATTACTCAACACCACTCTCAGAATGCGAAAAAAAAATAATGAAAAAGTACCAAATTTCATAAGACCTGAGCCCGCAATCTCTTCGAAAAAGATCAAATATACGCCATCTTCCAATACAAAATTATGTCTTTTGTGATTTAATTTAAAATTAAAATATTTCACTCATAATTTTAAAAATATCACTAACACATTTTTGTTCAAAAATTTAACTTGTAACCACTTTTCCCTAATGTGAATGCCTTTTTTTATTTTTTATTTTTTTATCTTTTGTAATGTTTTCATTTCATATCAAAACATTCATTATTATCATTCATAATTTTAAAAATATTATAAATACATTATATCATATGAATTTTTTTATATACAAATTCAATTTGTGAATAATTTTTCATTATTAAAATACCTACTTCTGTTTTTAATTCTTAAATTTATGTAAGGATTTACAAAAGAAAAGAAAAAGAAAAAAATAGCAACTTTTATTTTTATTTCATTCACTTTTTCTTTAACTATTCTTTTTTTTTTTTCCTTTTTTCTTTTTTCTCTACAAATGCCTCCTCAAATTTAAAATCTAAGGTTCTCACTAGCACATATATTTATGCAGATTTTTTTCATCTTTCACTCTCTTTTTTTTTTTTTCTATTTTCGACAAAAAAAATTAAGATGATTAAATATTGAAAGTTACATGTTTAAATCACATTTGTATTATAAAAAATAGATAGCTACTTTTGAAATTATAATTATTGTTCATTTTTTTAAAACAAATGTAATTCAAATATTTTCAATGCTTGTTAGTTCTTTCCTAGCTGATCAATTTTCATTTGAAGAGAAAAAAAAAATTATCAATTAGTCATATTATCAAAAAAAATATTACAAATTCATGAAAAAAAATTATAATTTTAGTTATTAACGTGCATGAAATTTTTCATTTTTCTATTTTTTTTAAAAGCATACAATAAATTAAAATTTTCCCAAAAATAAACAATCCAATACAGATAAAATTGACATTTTATAAAATAGTATTATTGACGCAGTCAACTAATGGTTAACTAGTGGATTGGGGAATGTGTACTGCAATAATTAACAAAAATATATATATAAAAAGAAAAATATAGACAAGTTTGATTTGTATTTGTGAAATAATTTTGAAAAAAAAAAATTTTGGAAAGAGTTTATAAAATTTAAAATTTTGTTTGATTATATGTTTTGAAAATAATTTTAGAGTTTGGGATTTTTATTTTTATTCTTATAGTTGAATAGATGGGCACTACAAGATATGAGAGTTTTAAAAACCAAGTTTTTTTTTTCGTCTGTAAAGTATAAATTTTGTTGCACAAAAAATTTGAAAACTAATTTCAGTTGTAGCAAGGACAATCGCTAAAAGATCATTCCCAAAAGTAAAAAAAAAAAAAATGAGCTTTTAGAGACAATTTTAAAAATGTTGCTAATAAATGTAATTTTAAAGACAAAATAACTAGGTCCCCCAAAAAAATTTATTCTTTTAGACAAAACTTTTAATCCTAAAAGGTTAGTAATAAATGGTTAACTAGTCTAATTTTGTTACTAAAAATAAAATAATAACACTTTTGGCAACAAAAATATTTTGTTCCTAAAAAGTGATTTTGTCCTTAAATTTTTATCACTAAAACCTTAATTTCTTGGAGTGGGGTGTGAGAGAAAAAATAATTAATTGATGTATGAAATATGAGAGAAGAAGAGATGAGAGAGAAAAAGTAATTAGTTGATGTGTAGTAGAGACAAAAGTGATTTTGGATTTTTTTTTTTTAGTGATTTTGGTTTTTTTTTTTTTTTTGTAAATTTCAACCAAACAAATTTTTGAAATTTTTTCTCAAAAATTGTCCCTCAGGAGACAAACCAAACAAGTCCGTAGTTATCAATATTCAATTATCTTAATTTTTTACATGAATATTCTATTCAACAAGTATTAAAAAATAAATGTTTCAAATCACTAAAGTGACCCTCAAATGAGCCTCAAATGAGCCTACCGTGTCCAAACAATTTCCCAAGTTAGATGATCAACTTGAGAGAATCCAGTCCTTAATAAAAAAAAAATTAAGTTTAAGAACACAAGTTAATTACAAAATTAAACATAAAATATAAATAAATTTTCAAAAATTGGTCCCACTAATAAATTTCGTAAGATCTAATGCATTCATTTATATTTTATGTCATGTTTCATAACTCGTATTGGCGTTCAATTGTGGGGTGAGTGTGACCCATTTTCCCAACAAAACAATTTTCTTTCCTAATTGAAAAATTAAGATTCTTAAAAAGGATCGTCACTTTCTGTGCTGTGGACGGTGGACGGAAAAGAATAAAGTGAAATTGCAGATTAGTTGTGGTGTGGTATGGACTGATTCTGTTTACAATCAACAACATCATGAAAATTATATCCAAATTATTTTGACATACCATAATTAATAATAATCATAGGATATCTGACATCAAAGGGTTATATATGATAGCCATGGTATGGTCAATGGTCATGATGGAATCAAATGACAATTGAAAGGAAAAACATAAGCCCAGCAAGAGAAAAGAAGAATCATATTCACATCCTTCTCCCCTGGACTTCCTCAAATGGTCATTTGTATCAAACTCTCTGTATCATTTGTGTGGTAAAATGATAATTTTGAATTGCAATATTTTTTACCGTATTATTATATTAGAATACAATATAATGAGTATGGGTTGTCTGTTGTGTGCGATGAAACAACACAAATTATTGTCTTTATTAGTGGGATCCACCTTCATCTCATTATGATGATTTGAACCCTTTCATTTAAACAGTTTGAAAAATCAAATTAATTGGATATCGGTAATAATATGATCGAATCAATTTTGTCTAAAAAATAATGGACAATTTGCACCATAAATCAAACTTGCTGTTAATTTTTTTAAAGAAAAATATAATCCAATCATGTGGCTAACAATGTTTGATCAACTTAATTTTTTTTTTTTCATGAATTATCCACTCAATGGACCTTAATGAATGGTTCGGAAATTTTGAAGAAAACAAGAACTTTTTTTTTATTTCCTTGGGAAGTGTGGGGGCATATTTTGTGAATGACAGCACGTGGCTGGGGTGACACCGACGTGTCAGCCAGAGTGCCACGTGGCTTGGTCATTTGCGAGATGATCTTGGCTAGGCCGAGGTTATCTTTGGAGATATCGAAATTTGAGATGAGCGGATAAGAGACAAGAGTCCTAGAATAGGAGAGGATCTCAATTGGATAAAGATAAAACTCTTAAGGGAGTTTATCTCCATCTAGCTAAGAGTCCAGGATGAGTATTGAGCCAAAGTCCATTGAAGCTAGGCTTCTACAGAGATTAGGTTAATGCTAGCTATAAAAGTAAGGCACCCTCGTGAGTCTAAGGTATGCTTTTTAGGCTCTGTCTAGTAAGTTAATCACCATTGGCTATCTTTGAGAGATAATTACTGACTTGATCGTCGGAGTTCCCCCGGGTGGACGAACCACCGCCGGATTCTTATCTTTCTATAACAGGTTGTTCGGGCTTAATCTATTCTGCCGATGCTCTCCTACTGAGTTTTCCTGTTTGGTTATGTGGGTAAAAATCAACACCCACAATTTGGTACTGTCTGTGGAAAAGTAAAGAGAATAGATGGCCAACGACAGACAGAAAGAAAAGGTCGGGGACAACATCCTTAGCGGGAGTGGCAAACACGCCGATCCTAATGTGGAGGAGGAGAACTATAATGAAGGACCTCAAGATTAGAATCCCGGGGGAAAAGACGTCGGCCAAAAGGGAAACGCATTGAAGAAAACATGTCAAGGCGGGTATTACAACGAAAGCGACCTCCAGATATGGAAAGATAGATACCTGAGGAGGGACGACAAGATGAAGGGAATGGCACACAAGTTGGCAGACCTACAATCGGTTGTCAACTTCATGATGTAGAACAACGTCATGCAGCCACTGTTTCCATTGAGCGACATGTCGATTCCAGCAGCCAAGAACAATGCTCAGAAAGGGGGGCAAAAAGCGGTCCCAACAGTCCCTCAGCATGACAAGGTGAAGGAACACTCGCATTGGCCTTCACGGGATGCCAGGCAAGCAGAGTCAATTAGGGGAGAGTCTTAGAGGACGCCTCGTACCAAAGGAACGTATGTCAAGGAACATCAGCATGTTCAAGGGAAGGAATTTTGTTTTGATACGATGAATAAAGAGAAGTCCAAGAGGACTCATAACGACGCTGGAAACAGCGCACCAAAAAAGATGAAATCCGTTGACAGCAGAGCTCCTGGTCGAACTAAGGAGGATTTGAGGGACTACCTCCAAAGGAAGTGGCAGAATGACAACGTCACATCCCCGGTCAAGCCGAGAACACCATTCTCAATGAAGTTGGATAAATTTGAGGCCCCAAAAAGGTTCCACATGTCAAGATTCCAAATATATTACGATAAGTTCGATCGGAACTTTCACATCGGCTTATATTTGAATTCAATGGCATTGTATACCGGGAACGAACCGTTACTTTGCAAGGTGTTCCCCTCATCCTTTGAGGAAATTGCATCAAATTGGTTTCACAAGTTACCGAAAGGAATTGTGAAGAGTTGGAAAGGCTTGGCCGAGATGTTTGTGGCCAGGTTTGCTACAAACAAATTGCAGTTGTTGAGGGTAGACTCCCTAATGGCTCTGAAAATTGGCGAGGGTGAAAACCTCAGGGTTTATGCCAAAAGGTATTATGAGGTATTCAACCGAATACCAGGATGCAACCAGCAGTTGGTGGTCGTATCTTTTAAGAATGGCCTAAAGAATGACTGCATTCTTTGAAAGTCACTAGCAAAGACTCTGCCGAAGAGTATGGAGGAGCTCATGGCCAGGATCGAGAAATATGCGAGAACAGAAGAGGATACGCTAGGAACAAAGGCGTCAAAACAAGAGAAGAGGAACGACTCGCCGAAGCAAAGCCAAGGTAATGCAAATTTTAATAGACAAAGAAACAGGACTAAGGGCTGCACAAGCAGTTACCACTGTGTTCCGGATCACAGTTTATAAAGTCCAGGAAAGGATCAGGAACCAGCCGTATTATAGAGCACTAAAAAAGATTCTGGGCAAATTTATGGGAAGAAACCTTGGGAAGCACTGTGCCTACCACAATGAAGATGGGCACCTGACTCAGGGGTGTAGAGCCCTGAAGACGTATTTGGAAGATCTGGTTAGACAAGGTCACTTAAGGGACCTAGTAGATGAGGCCAGAATGAGGGAAAAGCAAGCAAGGCTGCCCCAAGCACCGACAGCACCACCTCCACCAGCACCACAATCGCAAACAGACGAACCTCGAGTGATCAATGTGATTCATTCGAGGGTTAATGAGAACGAGGTATGTGGGAAGACTCAGAGGGTGAAGCACTTGTAGCATGTGTATAAGGTCCAGCAAAAGAGGCCTAGGACAAACGAGTGTCAGGGACCAATGGTGTCCTTTACTGAAGCAGACCTAGTGTAATGACCCAGAATTTTTTTTTTTTTAAATAGCTAGTGCATAATTTAATTGAGTAAATTTTTGAATTTGATTGTTATGTAAATTCTGTGAGAAAACAGTTTGGTTTTGTATTTTTTTTAAATATTTCCTGATCTCAAAAAATTATGAAATTTTTATATGTTGTTCCCATATGAGTGTATCACGTTGGATAAAAATTTCAGAATTAAATGATGAGTGTTTATTTTATGAAAATTCACAGACTGATTGGTGTTCAGTTTACTTTATAACAGAATTTGAAATTGAATTTTAGGTGTTCGGACCAAGATTTGAGATAAATTTGTTGGGACTATTTTGGTATATAATTTGAGGGACTTATGGGTGAGGCCATGATTTAGATTTAATTTAACTTGAGTTTATTTAATGACTCATGTTTAACTGTTTAGTCATTTTTAATTAGGTGATTGGTAGTAACCACCTTAAAAGTTGTTATTATTTATTATATAGAATTATAATAAATAGTTGATAGTTGATTTTATGGTGTATACCATATAGTGAAAAATTATATATTTTATAAAGAATGAAATTGGGTATATTTTTGGTAGTAAACAAAATATTTTATTTTGTGATGTACAAAAATGTTATATTTTTGTGATGAGAAAAATTATATCATTTTATAATTTATGTTATCAAAGTTTAAAATATTTTATAATATATTTTATATTAAGTTTTGTGATGTTATACCCATGGAGAAGCAAACCCATGTGGGGTTGTCCCCCACTCCCCTTCCATTTTTCCTTTTTCCATCATACTTCTCCCTTTCTTCTCCATTTTTTTGCTTTTCCCTCATTTTGGTGAGCAGAGAGCTTGCCTCATCGCTTCATCTCTCTTCCTCCCATGGATATTCAAGCTTTGAGCTTAGAATGAGAGTCTTTAAAGTAAAATTTTGTAAAAGTTTTGTCAATGAAAGTCAGAGAGCTCATTGTGATCTTCGCAACAGTAGTCTCGGATTCATGATTAGGCAAGATTTGCCTTCGAGATCTGCTTTTCTTTATTATTTGAGGTAGGGACTTTCTTCATATTTTTACATTAAAGCTATGTTAGAGTTATTTTGAGAAAATATATCATTATAAGAGGTATTGCATATATTTTTTTTCAGATTTTTGTTAGGTAATTTTTGGAAGAATAATTATGTTGAAATGTTAAGAAAAGTGGTATTTTGAGGTTGATTTGGGAAGACCACCTTGTGCTAAAATTTTGTTGCTAAAAATCTAAAAATTTAATTTTAATAGTTGTATGGATTGTATTTACATCATATTTTGATTAGATGATTTATTTTGAGAAATATTAAGTTGAAATATTTTTTTATCTTTGATTTGGAATATATTTTTGAGAAAAAATAAATTTATGTTGATGAATATTGAGTAAATGCTTAAGTTGGTATTATAGAGTTGTTTTGGGATTAAAAACTCAAAGTGTTATATTCATGATATTTTATAAAAAGATGATATGTTGATGATTAAGTTGTGTTCATTTTTATGAAAATAAAAATATGAAATGTGGACTTTCAAACTCATAATCTTGAAAATGTTGCTATTGGGCATATTTCATAATTTTTTATGTAAATATCATGTTGGTAAAGTAATTTTAAAAAAAGTTGTGAAATTGTTATTGATAGAGAATTTAGTAAAAATATTACATCTGTAAATAGCTTGGCATGAAAAATTGTTATATTGAAATATAATTATGTTTGAGGGATGATGCATGTAAAGTTAGGTTTGGTATTATTAATTTAAATTTTTTTGAATATAATAAATTTACTAATTTAGTGGATTAAATTAGTTTTGGTTAAAAGGTTATATCCGTTATGGTTAAAAGTGTGTTATTAAGATTATACCATAACTTTTGACATAGTAGGATGGAAATGGTAATATTTAATAAGTAGGGATTTCCTTTCAGTTATATATATGTTTTTGCAAGATCTAGATGATTTTCGAAATCATTATTTGATTTGTTTTGAAAATTGATTGTTGATTCAAGCAGATGAGAGATTTTTTTTTTAAAGTAGGTTTACTTTCTTGTTCCTTTTAAAATAGAAATTGAGAGTTTTGATCTATGAGGATTGAAGAAAGATATTTTTGGTGACTTTTTTTCAATAAATGAAGGTGAGTGATTTTGGTGAGAAAGCCTAGAAATTCGAAGTTTTTAAGAAAGATGTTGATAATCTTTGAAAATGTTATATTTATTTTGTGTGCCAAAATAAATGATGTTTGAAAAATTGTTTATTTGTTTACATATAAATGATGGCTTTCATGGAATATGAGAATTGTTGAAGTTTTGAAAATTGTTGTTCAAAATGTTGATATAGTCTTGAAGTGACTAAATAGTTGAGATTATTATAAGTGTAGGAATTATGTTGTCCCATGGATGAATTGGAATAAAAGTATTTATATTCATCTTGAGAAATTATACTGAAATGAGAAATGAGAATTTTGATTACAATGAGAATATTTTGTGGAAGTATTGAAAATGAAAGAAATATTGTAACGCCCTCAAAATAAACCCATTAACCATACAATCTTGACATGCTTAGACATAAGAGAATAAAGCATAATTTCATTCATCAGAGTATTCATTACAAAAGGTATTACATGTTGACAACAAAAGTAAATGCCCTATAGGCTTACAACTTTCCAAGTCAATACTTGGTTACAAAAGAAGAGTACTAATTCCACACAAAATAAGCCTTTGGCTTGACATACATGTAATAGAACAAAAATAAACAGAAGAGTCTTCAACTCCCACAGCTATACAAGCTAAGATCTCGGAGGCGGCATAATACCTAAACCTGAAAGTGATGTCCCATATAGGGTGGGCCAACGCCCAGTAGAGATATGCTAAACATAATATGAGCAATAACTAAAACATTAGCATTTGATAAATGTTTAACTCACACAACTCAATTCATAATTCATTTCAATTACATGACAAATATGTCCATGTTTCATTTCTCTTTCCTTTACTTAACCGATTTTCAAATCATAGACATGGCTCAGAACTTGGCCAAACAATTCCCATGAGACCACAGCTCACATCAACAATACTTCCATAATTCACAATAGATACACATATTTGCTGTATCAATAACACATTTAAACACTTCTATACTTCACAATAGATACACATATTCGCTGTATCCACACATCAATAGATACACATATTTGCTGTATCAATGGAGTCCATCCCCTATCTCCTCCCAAATAATATCCGGTTTAGGAGTCCATCCCCTTTCTTCCCCTAAACCATGGAGTACATCCCCTATCTCCTCCCACACAACATGATGCATATAAACACGTATCATATACATAATCAATCAATACATAAAATTAATGTATTATTCCAACCGTCATATTCAATGACATATCCAACCGATTAGTTTTAATTCACCTAATCATCATGCAGTGTCTACAACAATCAAGACTATCCTCCACCGATAGCCCAAAGCAGTTATTTCTAAACAGATAATAAATGCATTAAACAGATAATTTAACAACAATTTCAATGGTGTGAGATTAATAAATCCCACTCCACCATTCCATCTCATATCATGCTAATTTCATTAATTCCATCCCAATTTCATCTCTCACAAAGAAAATCATTAATTACAGTAATGACCCAATAAAATCCAAATATGGCATTTCTCCCACTTTTCCCATTATTGACCCGTTGGTCTAAATATCAACCATGATAATCATTAATCTCAATTTAAGACCCAAAATACACATTTATGGGCTAAAATAACAAAACCCCTCTTTCTCAATATTCCAAATCTTAAACCCTAACACCCAAATCGAACCATTTATACAAAATGCTCAAAATCTATGTCAAAGCTCATAAAGATGAGTAGTTATCCCTATCTCAAATTTGGAGCTCAAAGGGAGAAGATGAAGAATTTCGAGATGCTCCAAATCCCAAGATTTTCGGATCAAAATATAGCCTACAACGAGATCCACACTTTTTACAAAGGCCCAAGGGTAGAGGATCATTTCTACTGGATTAAACCCTAGAGAGAAGTTGGGATTTTAGAGTGAGGTGCTCTCCAATGGAGGTTTTGAAAAAGTAGGAGAGAGAAAGAAAATCAAAAAATGATCCAAAATGTCACTTTTCGGATTGAAATAAGGGTCGCCCTGCTAGAGCGTGGAACTCCTCGCTCGAGCGTCAGACACAGACTCACGTTCGAGCGTCAAAAGCGCCGCTCGAGCACCGGATGCACACTTCCAGAAGTTTTGCAGACCATGGGCCCCGCTCGAGCGCCAGACTTCCCGCTTGAGCGAAAGAACAAAAACGAAAGGTCCCGCTCGAGCATCAAAACTCCCGCTCGAGCGTACGACGACCAGCAGAGACAAAATACTGGGAGATGAATATTCACGCTCGAGCGGAGAAGTAACAACAAAGGTCCCACTTGAGCGTCAAAAGCCCCGCTCGAGTGTCAAGGCCAAAATCTGGGCATCAACTTTTGATTTCTAACACAACCAACCTGTTCCAAACCTACCCAACACAACACCAAGACTCAAATACAAAGAGTAAAGGATGGAAATGAGAATAAGACAACAACATAACCACAGAATCAAGTCCGAAATGCAATAACCAAAGGAAAGGAAAACCAAGATCGCTATAACCTCCCCCCTTAAGGAATTTCGTCCCCGAAATTAAGTACAAGTTTTTCAAAAACATGATTTCTCAATTACCAACATTATTACAATGCAAAATTCAACAACTTGACCCATTACCCGTCATTCCATCTCTATTCAAGAGGCAAACTTCCATATAGTCTCCAACATGCATTATCAACATGCATCTCAAAACATAATCAATGCCAATATTATATTTACATTTCTAAAACATCATTAACAAGTACAATGTTAAAATAAACTTCCATTTCAAGGCAAGTTCCAAAATACTTCCATAAATCAAAACATGTATAATGTTTTACAACTTAAGACATATTCCATGCTCTTAAAGTTCATCAATATTACAAAATTCCCAATACAAGATTACACATTAACAAACATATCTGGATATTTTTCACGGACCTCCAACTCACGTTTCCAAGTGACTTCTTCTACTTCGTGATGTTTCCATAAAACCTTTACCAAGGGAATGGTCTTGCCTCGCAAGACTTGATCCCATCTATCCAAGACCAGAACTGGTCTCTCCTCATACGAGGCATTCTCATCTACCTCTAAGTCGGTCCAATCCAATACATGCGATGGATCCGGCTCGTACTTCTGAAGCATACTGACATGGAACACATCATGCACCCCAGACAACTGCGGCGGCAAAGCTAAACGGTAGGCAACCTCACCAATCCTCTCAAGGATCTCGAAAGGGCCTATAAGCCAAGGGGACAACTTCCCACTCTTCCCAAACCTCATCAAACCCCGCCTAGGTGATATTTTCAGAGAAACATGATCACCCGCCTCAAATGCCAAAGGCCTCATCCTACAGTCGGCATAACTCTTTTGGCAACTCTGGGTTGTAACAAGCCTCCTACGGATAAGCTCAAATTTCTCCGTTGTTTCCCTCACCAACTTCGGGCCCAACAAAGGTGCATCACCCACCTCGGTCCAACAAACTGGAGACCTAAACGGTCGGCCATACAAGGCCTCAAACGGTGCCATATCGATACTCGACTGAAAACTGTTGTTGTAGGCAAACTCCACCAAGGGCAAGTGCCTCTCCCATGACCCATTAAAGTCAAGAACACAACCTCGAAGCATATCCTCAAGGATCTGAATAGTACGCTTGAATTGCCCGTCAGTCTGAGGATGATAAGCTGTGCTAAAGGTTAATCTAGTGCCCAAGGCACTCTGCAAACTCTGCCACAACCTAGCAGTAAAACGTGGATCTCTATCAGAGATGATCGA